TATTATGTCATGTGTCAAAGAGATATATTAGACAAATCACTATCACAATTAATGAGGTTAGATTTTAAATAATAGATTGTTAAAATTTTTATAGAAACATTTACTTTTTTAATTATATGTTAAATGTTGAAGTTATAACTAACTTTAAAATTTGGTATATCTCTTATTAATAATTTATTTAATTAGTTATTTAAAATAATTGATTAATAATTATGAATTTTTTGCTATGAAAATTGAATTAATTATATAACTGTGGTTTCCACGGGTTATAAACTAATATATATTATATAGTATTATATATATATATATAGATATATATATATAGATATATATATAGAATATATATATATAGAGATATATAACAAAAGTTGAAATGGTTGGGTTTTTTTCCCATTGTCATGGGTTTAACAGCGGAGGAAAGGATACAAGGTGTTTACTGGTGCAAAGACACCACTTAACATGTTTTGTTACCTAAATTTTATATAGAAAATTTATGATTATAATTGATTTTCAGTAATGGCCCATGATATAAGAGTTTTACACTATACTCCCATGATAATAAGAGTTTTACATTATAATTGATTTTTAGTTAATGGCCTAATAAGAGTTTTACACTATACTCCCCGGTTACAATCATCTAGATCTAGCCGCCATAGCATGGGTTTGAAGAGCTTTTAAGATAATGTGAAATTGAAAGAAAGAAAACTAACAATCACAAAAAAGCCACATTTCCCAAGTCAGTAACAAAAGTCGAAATCTGTCGGTTTTTTTCCCGTTGTCATGGGTTTGAAGAGTTTTTAAGATGATGTGAAATTTAAAATAAGACAACTAACAATCACAAAAAAGCCACATTTCGCAGGTCATGATATAGGCCATTTCGGTCCCATCTGCGACATGGGGGTTATTTTGGGAAACTCTGCTAATTTTGTGAGTTTCTGTATATACATTGATATATCCCGATTACGTTGCATAATCTGTTTTAGGCTAATGTTTACTTATTATTAATCTCAACTTGTACATTTTTTATTAGCCATGAGAAAAATAAATTAATAAAAGAAGATGGTTATGACTGGGATCAAAGATAAGACTTCCACGGACACTTCTTGCATGTAAACCATTGAATCTTATACATGCATCCTTTTTCCATAATTCTCCTCTATAAGACTATAAATACAACTTATTAGTGTCATCATTGCTTACAACTTCTACCTTCAACTCACACCTCATCTTTATATATACACGTACTCATGTTTCCTTCTCTGATATCTAAAAAGGAAGTAAAGAAAGAATCACAGAAAGCGCGCCATACCGACGCTGAAAACCATACACAGACGTGTACTTGCATGGATAATATGTTTCGAAAGGTTTCAAGATGATGTTCGGAGAAACTTTTGTTGGTAAGACCATCGTTAATGGGAAAGTGGTCTTGATGAAGAAGAATGTCCTCGATTTCAATGACTTGGGGGCGTCAGTTTTGGACCGAGCTCATGAGCTATTGGGCAAACATATCTCCATCCAATTCATAAGTGCGACTCATGCTGATCGTACATCCTCAGGTTTGATATACTCATCTTGTACAGCCATAAGTATTCAATTAAAACACTGCCCCTATTTAGTTATCTTTTCTTAACATCTTAAAACTCACTGAATCCATTTTAGTATTACCGTAAAAACAAAAAACAAGCGCACATACAAACACCGCCTCATAGGCTAATATTATATATATATACCCTTCGAAAATGTGACTTTTGCTAAAACCAAGTATTTGCTTCAATGAGACTGCAACCGTTCTAAAATCTAAATGCGAGTACAAAGTAAGGACCATAATCACATAGGTCAAACCATGTGGATCGTTGCAACGATTAAGCTAGCTGACAGTCCATGCATAACGAATGGTTTAGAAGCTGATTATTGCAAGCGCATCCATTTAATATGATATGCGAATATATTGTACACAAAACGATTCTCTTATCTTATTAATATAAAAATGGCTTAAGGTTAGGGGTATTGCATGGCCTAAATAAGTAGGTTTCATATACGAATGGATTAGAAGCGGGTTTCATATACTCTTTCACGTTTATTTTACACCAATTTATTACTAATTTTTTTTTATCAATTTGTAGAGTTACCACCAATATATGTCATAAAGTTCACGTGACTAACGTTAACATAGCGATACATTGAGGGGCTAATTAACGTTCATATGGCCATTCATTTTTTATAAGATAAAAAAAACAATGTACATTTTTGTGTTAGCTTTTAGCTAGGTACGAAAGCTCACACAATTGTATATTCGACGAACCTTAATTTCTTGTAATATATATATATATATATATATATATATATATATATATATATATATATATATATGTATATTATAAGTGATCTTTGATCTTTTTGTAATAATGTCCTTAATTTACATATTAATTTTATTAATTATTTTTACAAGTTTAGGTTAACACACTTGGATAACAAGGTGTTTAATTACAAGAAGTTACCAACAAAGAGGTGTTGAGTTCTATCTCATATACTAACATGTCGTTCTAAAAAAATATTAATTAATTTTAATTAATTATCACATACATTTCAACGCAATTAACGTTAGTGGTTACAATATTGGTCATTGTCCATATAAATATATTAATAAGTATTGATATATAACTAATACCTATTAAATCAAATACAAGGCTTCTCAAATTAGATGACGATAATGACCCGAGGATTAGTTAGCCTCAAATTATATAAATGTAAAGCATGAGTGTTTCGTAATATGTTAACTACTCTTTGATGGCTTCTGTCGAATAGAGTTCTTACTTTATCAATGGCGGCTATGGAGTTTTTATATAATATATGCGAAAGTTAAACCTAATCTATATTCATAAGTGTACACAATAAACCTGCTCCTCTCTTTTCAAGGAATTTTAATTCTTAGTATATACGACTTAATTTTCATAATTATTTAAATCAACTTTCTATCAATATGACTTCTTCCATGCATCAACACGTACATGGTATTAATAGTGATGTTGATAGGATTATTTTCAATGGAGCTATGTTATTTTTAACCACACGTTTAGGCCGACCATCACACTAGATTATTATTGGCGCACAAGTAGAACAAGTTTAGAACTTTTTGTCCAGATGCTTGTTGATCACCCGTCAAATACGTCTGATCATTGTGTTCCAGTTTAAATTTTGAACCATGGCTATTAAATAACTTTTAGGCATATATTATATATCCATAACTAAACAAGGAGTTGGAAATAAGTGGGTGGAGTCGTGGGCAAGAACAGGGAAGCTGATTGCAGAACAACCCGAGAAGGCGAGCAATTCAAGAGGTCTTGATCAAAAGGGAGCGGGGGACAGCATGGGATGATAGAAAGAGAGAATGCATGGTGATAAAACATAAGGGTTGTTTAATTGTTTTTAATGTCAAATAAATAAATATTTAGTTTTGTAAGATTGACAAAAAAAAAGGCAAATAATTATAAGAACATTATAATCATTTTATTACCAATATTTACATGAATCACAAATTGTGAAAGATTACTAGCTATTCAGTTATAGAAAAGAAATTATTTGTTGTTACTTTGTAAATTTGTTTTTAGGAACTATATCCAAATTAGCCGGACCATAAAAATGAGGTGTGAGTTGAAGGTAGAAGTCAACTCTATACCGTCGACATGTCGTCGGGACAGGATAATCTTTAGCGACGACCTCTGTCGTCAACATAGTTATCGTCGACACATGAGTAATTTCTAGTAGTGAAAGGTACATCAGTTTAATTAGTTTACATAAAAAACGAATTATATTTATGGATATCATTTAGTATTTATCATTATTTGATTAAATAATAATTTAATTTTTACTAAGTTTTTATTGGTACATTCTACCACATAATAAATGTGAGAAACATTTGAACCGAACTCTCTCTCTCTCTCTCTCTCTCTCTCTCTCTCTCTCTCTCTCTCTCTCTCTCTCTCTCTCTCTCTCTCTCTCTCTCTCTATATATAGATATATATATATATATATATATATATATATATATATATATATAGATATATATATATATATATATATATTAGCGTTATAAATATCGACCTATGCGCTAGGCAGTGTGCATTTGATTACATTATGGGTGTTTGGCGAAAATTAGTCAATATCGGTCAAACTAGGGTAATTGGTCTTCGACGCTCGTCGGCGGTCCTTAGCGGTCCTAGTCAGAAAAATTTTAAAAAATTGAAAATTGAAAATTTTAATATTACACCAATTATATTATATATATATATATATATATATATATATATATATATATATATATATATATATATATATATAATATATATAGATATATATTATATATATATATATATATATCAGTGTTGTAAAAATCTGGAGTAGGTCCCAACTAATCCCTAGCCGTTAGCCGTTACCTGACTGACTAGAAGACACCTAACGATTAATCAATTAGTACACAATGAACGAAATAGTAGAAAACGATAAAATTTTAACGAATTAAAAAAGGTTCTATCTCAATGGAAACAATTTAAGGAATGTTTGTATTGATCAAATTAATATATTTTGTTACGAACTTTGTTATGATGTTTGTTATATTTAATTTTTTTTATATTTAAAGAATTAACAACTTAGGGGCTGTTTGACAGGATCTGAATTTTTAAGATCTGAATTTTTAAGATCTGAATTTTTAAGAGGTCTGAATTTCTAAGAGGGTCTGAAATTTTAAGATCTGAACTTTTACATGTTGTTTGGTTGAAATCTCTGAATTTTTGTGTTGCATGATCAAAATGACCATTTTACCCTTCTGTATCATTTATTTCAATTACAACATTGTACGTTCAACATTTACATTTTTCTTATTAAAACATTTTAATTGGAAAACAATAACCAATTCTAGCATTCTAATTTCAATTTAATCTTAACAATAGAGAATCAAACATACATTAATTCACCAAAATCAGAAAATCTAACATACCTTTACTTCACAAAAATCACAAAAGCAAGGTAATTGACCTGTAAGGAAAGGAGACCATTTTCTTATTAAGAAGAGGAATATTCAAGGTAATTGAAACAGATCCATGAGAATACAACAACAACACTTTGTTCATGCTTCAACCAATTTTCTATCAATCTACATCATTAGTTTATTACAGTGCAATAACCAAATAAGAAACAAAAAACATCCACCTCTAATCCATACACAAAACCTGCAAATCACATGAGCAATGACCATATCATAAACCAAAATGACCTAATCTGAATCCAATCCTACATCAGGTCATTTGGGCTGTTAAACAAAAAAGAAAATCGAAAATAAAAACCTACAAATCCAAAATCCAAAATAAAAAATGATGAGAACGATGACAACAGGGAACCGATCGGTGGTAGAGGGGCAGATGAATGTATAACAGAAGGTATGAGTATTATTAGGATAGGAAGCGACATGAAGATGTTGAAGCACCAGGTCGGAGAGGTCGGAGAGGCGACGATGGCGAGGATGTCGGAGGCAGTGTCGCTGGCAGAGCTGGCAGCGGCGGTGTTGCTAGCGGAGGGAGGCAGAGGGAGCGTTGAATATCGGAGTGGGACAGAGAAGGAGCGGTAATGTCGTTAGAAGAGGGATACAGTGTCGCGGAGTATAAAGAAGAGAAGAGGGATACACGTGTCTTTTTTTATTTCAGACATGGTTCCAAGTCTGAATTTTTAAGAGGCTATTGATTAATTAAGAGGTTTTTATTAAGATGCTATCAAACATACTGAATCCGAAAAATTAAGAGTTTGCCTCTTAATTTCTTAATTAAGAGGCGACCAAACAGCCCCTTAGGATACCCGAGTGGGGCATGTGGCGGCAATGTCAAATGTAGAAAATTAAGTTTTATTGGTTTGTCTATGTGAAATTTATCAACCCCAAAATCCTTCTAATCATTTGTTTTTAAAATCTTTGTAACTTTATGTTGTTGGTCGTAATTTTTTCTTAGCACAAATACACATATGCTGTACAAGGAGTAGATAGTTTCATTTAATTTAAAAAACTTTGTTATATTATGTTTTCCAAGTTGGAGCTAGCCCACTTGGCTAACATAGAGATTTAAACTAACAACTAACTAGGAAGTTTTTGGTTCAATCCCAAAAAGAAAAGAAAACTATATAATTATTTCTCGTTTCAAAAAAAATAATAAATAAATAAAATAAAAAATAAAGTATTATGTTTTCCAAAATAAATTAGGATTTTTATTTAACTATCCACGACTCCTTAAATATTTGTACTGCTAAATTATTAAAGAAAATTTTAAACGGGTTTTCTATAAGTACCCCTCTTTTTTTTTTCCAATTCTACCCCTCCTAGTTTGATTGTTTGTCTTTTGTTGTTGTTGTTGTTGTTTTTTTTTTGTTTTTAATTCATTTTTAATTTATATTATTATTATTATTATTTTATTATTATTATTATTATTATATTTTAGTATTATTATTATTATTATTATTATTATTATTTATTATTATTATTATTATTAATTTCGAACAAATTTTTATAATTCGGACGACATTATAAATTCAGACGACGTTATAAAATTTGAACGGCTATATAAAATCAGTTTTTAATTCTTTTTTATTTTTTATTTTAATATTATTATTATTATTATAAATTTCGAACAACATTTTATAAATCAGACGACATTATAAATTCGAACGACTATATAAAACTGGTTTTTAATTCTTTTTTATTTTATATTTTAATCTTATTATATATATATATATATATATATATATTATATATATATATATATATATATATATATATATATATATATATATATATGTTAAATCAAATGTAAAAAAAGAAAACAAAATAGAAAATAAACAAAAAAATATGTCAAATCAAATGTCAAAAAATCGATTAGGTTGAATTTTTGGGGTTAAATTTGGTTAAGGTGGTAGTTATAGACAACTCTTTTTAAATTGGTTAGAAGAATAACATAGTTTCTATAAAATTTATTAAACTTAATATCTATAAAAACATATTTGGAGGCAAGAGTGCGGAAAGGAACTTTTTTGATGGGTGGAAAAAGTTATCACTATTGTTAATTACATATGGACATATGGTTGAATTTTGACCGGTATTTGTGTTGGTTTATTTCAAAATTTGGGTTTTCAATGGATTCAAGTTTATGGGTTTTCTGTTGCAGAAAAAGTATTGAGAGGTAAGCTTGGAAACCCGGCAAATTTGGAGGACTGGATTAGCACCATTACCCCTCTCACAGCCGGTGAATCATCATATGAAGTCACATTTGATTGGGATGAAGAGATTGGACTACCAGGGGCTTTTCTTGTTAAAAATCTTCACCACAGTGAATTTTATCTTATGACACTCACTCTCGAAAATGTACCTGGACATGGCAAAGTTCATTTTGTTTGTAACTCATGGGTGTATCCTGCCAAACGTTACACCAAAGATCGCATATTCTTCGCCAACAAGGTATAACAGTGCTCGTGTTTCAAATATCTTTTCAAAGTTTGAGGTTTTACGACAACTCATGTAAAACAATGGTGTAGGCATATCTTCCTGGTGAGACACCTGCATTGCTTCTTCCTTATAGAGAGGAAGAGTTGGTGACCTTGAGAGGAAATGGAACTGGGAAGCTTGAGGAATGGGAAAGGGTTTACGATTATGCATTGTATAATGATTTGGGAAATCCAGATGATGAGGATAAAGTGCGCCCAGTTATTGGAGGATCATCAGAGTATCCCTACCCTCGTAGGGGAAGAACAGGCAGACCACCTACTGAAATAGGTTAGTTAGAGTCAAATTTGTTCATGTGAGAGTGTGATCAGGTGATGATTGTATATATTTAAGTTATAGAAATGCTAAAATGGTTTTTGTTTTTGGGTTTTTAAAGATCCTAAAACTGAGAGCAGGCTCTCGCTTATTGAGAGTCTTCAGATGTATGTTCCAAGAGATGAGCGGTTTGGACACCTGAAGAGGTCTGACTTTCTGGCTTATGGACTAGAAGCTGTCTTTAAGTTCCTTCTCCCGGAGTTTGAGGCTCTAACTGATGACACTATAGATGAATTTGACTCGTTTGAAGATGTCTTGAAGCTTTATAAGGGTGGAATTAAGCTTCCTAAAGGCCCTTTACTTGATAGGATTCGAGAAAACATCCCTTTACAGGTGTTTAAAGAAGTTATTCGATCAGATGGTGAGGGACTTGCGAAATACTCAACACCAGAAGTCATCAAAGGTACCATTAATTCTACATGTCCAAAATTAAATACACAAGTCACTGATATATATCAATTACCATAAAAGAGGCAATGTGACATGTCTTATGATGTTTGTGTTAAATAATATATTTGCTTCCTGATTCCAACATGTCATATGATGTTTCAACAGCTGACATGTCTGCTTGGAGCACCGATGAAGAGTTTGCAAGGGAAATGCTAGCTGGAGTCAACCCGGTTTCAATTCAACTTCTGAAAGTAAGCTCTTATTTTTTTCAATTACATTGATTCAGAAAAGAAAAAAAATGATATTTAAGTGAATTGTGTAACTAGATTAGTTTTACTCAGGTTTCCTACATGCTTAAAGAATCAAAATTAAGAACAAACACATTTTGGTTCTGAATTGATGTTTGTTAAATGTTTAAACTTTTTAGGAGTTCCCTCCAACAAGCAAGTTGGATGCCCAACTCTATGGTGACCAAAACAGTTCAATAAGATCACATCACATAGAGGAACATCTAGATGGTTTACAAGTAAACGAGGTAATGTAATAATTTTGATTCCTCAATCAAATCAATTTAAACTAGAGTTGAAACATCATTTATGTTCTTGACACAGATGCTAAAAGCCAAGAGACTATTTATACTAGACCACCATGACCCATTGATGCCATACGTGAAGCGAATAAATGCAACATCCACCAAGATTTATGCCACAAGAACATTGCTCTTGTTACAAAAAGATGGAACGTTAAAACCAATAGCCATTGAGTTAAGCTTGCCTCATCCAGATGATGAAAAGCTTGGTGCCATAAGTAAAGTATGTACGCCATCTAAGCATGGAGTTGAAGCCGGAATTTGGAAGTTGGCTAAAACATATGTAGCTGTGAATGATTCTGGAGTTCATCAACTCATCAGTCACTGGTAAATTTACTTTAACACTCACAAATTACTTATTTTGTATAGATTACAGTTCCTTCTACAGTTTTTACCAAGTTATTGATCATATGCAATGTGTGCTTTGTAGGTTGAATACACATGCTGTTATTGAGCCGTTTGTGATAGCAACAAACAGACAACTAAGTGTGCTTCATCCCATTAACAAGCTTCTCCACCCTCATTTCCGTGATACAATGAACATCAATTCAACTGCTAGGAATATCTTGATCAATAGTGGAGGTATTCTTGAGAGAACATTCTTTACTGGGAAATATTCAATTGAAATGTCTTCGAAGATATACAAGGATTGGGTATTCCCCAACCAAGCTCTACCTATAGACCTCGTGTTGAGGTATGATATTCATCTACTAATTTCTTGCAAAACATTACATAAAATTTTAAAAGACATTTTTTTCTTCTTAATACTATGATAACATACTACTCGATAATTTTAATATAGGGGAATGGCAGTTGAGGATGCAAATTCTCTACATGGCCTTCGCTTAATGATTGAAGATTACCCTTACGCTGTAGATGGGCTAGAGATTTGGTCAGCCATTAAAACATGGGTTGAAGGATTACTGTAGGTTTTACTACACGCAAGATGACATGGTACAAAATGACACTGAACTCCAATCCTGGTGGAAGGAAGTTCGAGAGGAAGGACATGGAGACTTGAAAGACAAGGCATGGTGGCCTAAATTAGAATCTGTTAAAGATGTGATTGATAACTGCACTATCATCATATGGGTGTCTTCTGCTCTTCATGCAGCTGTAAACTTCGGGCAATACCCCTATGGTGGTTATCCACCTAATCGCCCGACTCTAAGTCGTAGGCTTTTGCCTGAACCTGAAACTCCTGAATATGATGAACTAAAAGAGGATACCCAGAAAGTTTTTCTGAAAACAGTCACTCCACAACTACAATCACTTCTCAGTGTTACTTTGATAGAGATATTGTCACGACATACTTCAGATGAGATCTATCTTGGGCAAAGGGAGTGTCCTGAATGGACCATGGATGCTGAACCTTTGAAGGCATTTGAAAATTTTGGTAAGAAGCTGAAAGAAATTCAGGAAAGAATTGTGAATTTGAACAAAGATGAGAGGTTGATGAATAGATTTGGACCTGTAAAGATACCATACACCCTACTTTACCCAAGTAGTGAAGAGGGGCTTACTGGAAGGGGCATACCTAACAGTGTGTCGATATAAAACATATCTATCTAAGGCTGTTTATTAAGTATCCTTGTGTATATTCCTTTGGACTACATGACTAGCATGCAATAAATATGTAACAGATTTATACTACTTTTATTCATCTTTTAGATTGTAATGTATCGTTTTCTAAATCTTAATGGGAAGTTTATTCTTGTGGGACATTGACACGTTTTAATTGATATATATATATATATATATATATATATATATATATATATATATATATATATATATATATATTAAAGACATTAGATTAAAATAAGATAAAGTTATAAATTTAACCAATTACCTTAATTACTTTTAAAAAATAATAATTACTTTTTAAAAAATAATCAAAAAATCAACTTTTTCGTAAAATATCTATGAAATCACAATAGCTAGGCTTACAGCTTACCTCAAATTTTGTATACTCTACCCGGTTTGGTAGAATAGACTGCCATCTAGGCCCATTGCCTAAAAATAATGTGTAGGTATTAAATGTTTTTTTTTAGAAATATTACTAGGAAAGTTTATTCTTTAGTTACATTGACATGTTTTGGCATTTTTTTATGTTCCGAATAAAGCCCGTAAGCTTGATTATGATTTTGTTGATTTGGATTACGATTTCTGCATATTTGACTATGATTTCGTACAATTACACCCGTCTATATATGAAATGTTCTATAAAAAAATGTTAGATTTTTTTATAAATTTTTGTGTTATATTTTTGTACTAAAATGAGTTCTAATAAATATTTCGTTAAGGTTGTAACCGGTGGGAGGTGAGAGATAGTTGAATCTCAAATACCATATGTTTGGCCACCCGGGCGTTTCCAGAATATGCAATTTCGGTTTGATATTTTCGGAATACATTAATTTTAGTGAATATTTATATTTGGTGAAAATGAAGACTAGTTTCTTTTATATATATATATATATATATATATATATATATATATATATATATATATATATAATGTTAGTCTTGGTTTTCAACATCGTGAAATGCATTATTATATATTGATAGTTGATGATGAAGATGTTAGACACTTGATCAACGTAATTAAAGCGATTAGAAGAAAACCTATGAATGTTTATGTGGTGGTTAATGAAGGTAATATTGCTAACGAAGGTGAAGATAGAGGAAAAACATATGTTGCAAACATATCAAACAGAAAAGGGACCAACCACCCAATAGATACATTTATCACTCCTAGTGTACCTCAGTTTTATAGTGTTTCTGAAAATAAAAGCGAGTAGCATTCATCGATTCACTATGAGATCCTCAAAAGTATAAGTATGTTGGTGATGTTAATGTTGGTACATATATCAATGATGTGGTAGACAATATAATACTGAACGCCAATAACAAGTTCAGGTTCACAATATCGGTATAGTAGATGAAATTGAACACCAAAGGTTTCATTTCTGAAAGATGACAATCTAGATGGTTACAAGATTTTACATATGTTCGTTGAGATTTATCCAATATAGAAAGTAATTTTTGATGCAGATGACTCAAATGATGAACCTAACCTAGGTATTCAGACACCCAATTTTATGGTATGCCCCTTTACCGTCATGTCTAGTCGTTGGTAATGTCAATATTGATGGGTTTTATATGTTATAAATCTATGCATGAGGCGAAAAATTACTTAACTCTTAAGTTCACATGCAACCTATTTAGATCTATGTTTTCTCTATTGATAACAATAACTATGAACATCAAGAACCTTAAAAGAACTCTAAATTAATCGGAATAAACATAGAGTGAGGGTTTACATACCTTTTGATTTTTATAGTAAATAACCAAACAAAATTCTTTCTTGAAAACATTGGAAAGCAAGCACCAGAAATCTAATGATTCTAATGGATCACACCCAAAACCTTAGAAACTCTAGAATGAAGAGGAGAGAGAGGTGAGAGGAAGAAATTTCGTTCCTATGCTTCTTAGGAAGGTCATGAACGAAACTAATGAGTCAAGGGGTCCTATTTATAGTTTAGGTAACTTGCAGGTAAAATAAGATTTGAATTGATTAAATAACAGATTTAATCATAATTCAATTCCTTTCCTTTTATGCAACCACGAGGCTTCCAAAAACCTTACGAAACCTCCAAAACAGTTCATACCATGGAGGTTTCTGGAATTGCTTATTTGAAACATCCCAAAAATACAGTCTGAAAATTTCGTTTTAAATTAGTAATAAAACCATATTCATCGAACGTCATATAAGAATCATAAACAATGTATCTCAAAATATCATAGCAACTGTCAAATATATCAGAGTATAAACATCCCAGGCTGAACAAATGGTGTGTGCACTGCAATCTTCCCGAGCTCCTCTTTTGAAAACTGAGTACCTGAAACCAAAACTGAAAACCGTAAGCACGAAGCTTAGTGAGCTCCCCCAAGCTACCACATACCATACAATAACACAATAACACATACTGGGCCCCGCCCGGCATCGGACCGAAGTCCGGCATGATCTGGGCCCCGCCCACTGCATCGGGCCCCGCCTGGCATCAGACCGAAGTCCGGAATAACTTGAGCCCTGCCCACTGTATCGGGCACCGCCCGCCATCAGACCGAAGTCCGGAATAAACTGAACATAACATAACATGAACATATAGCATAATCACATACTGTATCGGGCTTGCCCGACATCGGACCGAAGTCCGGATCATAATACACATATCACAACATGCATGAATCACAAAGACATCAAGCATACATACTACTGCATCGGGCCCAGCCCGACATCGGACCGAAGTCCGGAACTACTATCATCTAAACGGGCCGACATTGTGGCCGTAGACCCGTTTCTACTGGAAGGAAACTCACCTCACACTGCTGAAGTCCCGTAGACACAATCTCATACTGCTGAAGTCCCGCAGACTCAACCTTAGCTGCTGGATGACAGATTCCCAAACTGTCAACACCAAAATAACACCCAATTAATAATTGGGTTCTAACACATAACTATAAATACATAATTTGGGTAATTACTACATTGCCCCTAGCTTGGCTTACCCAAGCCCAAGGCCCAATCCATAGGCCCAAAGTCAACTAGGGATCAAAGCCCAACATATGGCCCAATTTTCCAAATTGGGCCCAAACCTCTACATGGACTTCCGTTAAGGCCCAATTGCTCAGTCCGGTCCAACATATCTCATTCTAAGGGCCCAATATCATACAACCTTATAGGCCCAAAGTATGGCCCATCTATGGCCCAATTTTCCAAATTGGCCCCAATCCTTCATATGGGCCTTATCCTAGAGCCCAACTAATTACTCTAGTCCATTTGATTATTCTTGGATGGCCCAACACAAAGTCCAATTGAAATTAGGGTTTCACATAAAATGATGATTAAGGTTAAGTGTTTCTTACTTAACCCATTAAGGACTTAATCCATTAAGTCCTTTACTCTACTAGATCAATGATATGGAGAAAATTGGGCTTAATACACAATCCAATCTCAGTGGCCGAAAAGTGGGTCCAATAAGTCCAAGGCCCAATACTATTTTTTAAGAATACATATAAAATGATTTCTGAGCGACTGTGTATTGGAAGTGGTTGAATGACACCACCGTAAAGTTCTTACAATTTGAAATAATGTTTCGATTTGGACATAGTACTATTTTTCTTATCCGATTAACCGATTATGTTATTCAATTTCTTTATTTCTCAATCCATTCTAACATAATACTATTCTTCTAGGAAATTCAAATACATAATATAGTTTATTCTATAAGAATACATTATGTTTTATATAGTGTATTATGTTAGAATACACTCGGTTAGAATTTAAAATGGTAATTTCACTTTATTTTTAATGATTCTTTAAGAATATTTGTTAAAATTATTATAATATGTATATTGGTTACACAATAGTAATGAGTAATTGTAAGATGCTATTTTGGTTTAGTCAAATTGTTCTTCTTAACTGATAGTACTAATGAGTAATGCATTCAGATAAATTTTTTTAAGAATATTATTGTCATATTCTGATAGAATTTTAGTTAATTATTTATATGTTTAATGTGCAGTTTTTACACGTGTATCACCACAAAATATTTGGCAATGCATACGTGATATGAATGGCTTGAAGACCTGATAAGAATGACTTGAAAATGAATCAAAGAATGATCACATTCACAGTTTAAGAATATTGTTATTTTTTTTAAGAATTACACTTGTTATTCTTTCAGAATATTGTTATTGTTCTAATGTTGTTATTATTCACAATCATACAATGTAACTATTTAATATATTTTTTGTTCAATAATCAATTTTTTGTATTCTTTCATAATGTACTTATTCATGTTTATTCTTATTTGTGTTTACTTAAAGAATGTCATAAACTATAATTCTAATAGAATATCATTCTGACAGAATAAAATAAGTTATAATCGGTTATTATTAAAAGTTAAATTAGAATAGCAATTGAATTAATTAAAAAATATCAAAATTATCCCTTAAATTCCGAAATTCCTTTTTTAAATATAGTTTAATTGACTAAAATACATTTCTTATTAATTTTGAGTGATAATATGATACATGTTAGTGCATTGTAATATTATGGACCCTCAAATCATAATGTTTCATTATTTTCATCCATTGGTCTAAAAGTATCCCTACGACTATACAATATATGTCGTCTACATTATAACCTAACCTCTCTCTCTCTCTCTCTCTCTCTCTCTCTATATATATATATATATATATATATATATATATATATATATATATATATATATATAATATATATAGATATATATATATATTATATATATTAATAAAAGCATAGTTTTATTCTCCTTTTGCCATGTCACTCTAATACAACACCACATTAATATTATGTCATGTGTCAAAGAGATATATTAGACAAATCACTATCACAATTAATGAGGTTAAGATTTTAAATAATAGATTTTAAAATTTTTATAGAAACATTTACTTTTTTAATTATATGTTAAATTTGAAGTTATAACTAACTTTAAAATTTGGTATATCTC